AAACTGATTTAAAATACGAGGCTTTGAGTTTTCTTCATTTTCTGTTGAAAATTTCCAGTTTTCCAAGCTGATCAGTAAAGAAAACTTTAATTTCATCAAGTAGACTTTGAAATGTTATTTTCCATTGAATTTTTTCTTGGATTTTCCGCTTTTTTAATCGGATTTTTCACTTTTTCAGGGTTTTTTTGGTTGAGAAACTCGATTTAAAGTACGAGGCTTTAAGTTTTCTTCATTTTCTGCTGAAAATTTGCGAGGGTAAGTAAAAGAAACTTTGATTTTATTAAGTAAGCTTTAGAATATCATTTTCGCTGGATTTTCTTTGAATTTTCCCTTTTTTCAGGGCTTTTTTGGTCGGGAAAACCGATTTAAAGTACGAGGCTTTGGGTTTCCTTCATTTTCTGCTGAAAATTTGCAGGAAAATCTTAAGTAACAGAAACGTTGGTTTTATCAAGTAAGCTTTAAAATGTCATTTTCGCTGAATTTTCTTAGAATTTTCCGTTTTTTTTTTCAGGGCTGTTCTGGTCAGGAAAACCAATTTAAAGTACGAGGCTTTGAGTTTCTTTCATTTTCTGCTGAAAATTTTCGTGGGTAAGTAACATAAACTCTTGTTTTATCAAGTAGGCTTTAGAATGCCGTTTTCCATTGAATTTTCTTAGAATTTTCCACTTTTCCAAGGTTTTTTTTAATCAGAAAAAGCAAGGGGGAAACCACCTAGGAATTCTTTGCCAAAAATGTGGGGAATTTAAAGAAACTCATCGAAATTTATGAGAATTTGGGGAATTTATAGGGAATTTGGAGGAATTTATGGGCATTTTTCATGTTGTTGTTTTCCACTGAGAAAATTTGTAATTTTGGGAAAATGAGCTTCTCACCTTCCTCTTTACATGCAAAAAGTTTCAAAATTTTCCCTTTACTAGTTTTCCAGGAAAACTTTGAAATATGTGAGACTGTATTTTCAATTAATTCAGTTATTGTAGGTTGATTTCCAATATTCCTTATGTTGTTATATTCCACTGGAAAATTTTGAAATTTTGGGAAAATAAGTTTCTCACCTTCCTCTTTAAATGCAAAAAGTTTTAAAATTTTTCCTTCACTAATTTTCCAGGAAAACTTTGAAATGTGTTTTCAATTAATTCAGTTATTGTAGGTTGATTCCCAATATTCCTTATGTTGTTATTTTCCACTGGAAAAATTTGAAATTTTGGGAAAATGAGCTTCTCACCTTCCTCTTTATATGCAAAAGGTTTCAAAATTTTCCCTTGACTAGTTTTCCAGGAAAACTTTGAAATATGTGAGACTGTATTTCCAATTAATTCAGTTGTTGTAAGTTGATTTCTAAGATTCTTTATGTTGTTATTTTCCACTGGAAAAATATGAAATTTTGGGAAAATGAGCTTCAGACCTTCCTCTTTACATGGAAAAAGTTTCAAAATTTTCCCTTCACTAGTTTTTCAGGAAAACTTTGAAATGTGTGAGACTGTATTTTCAATTAATTCAGTTATTGTAGGTTGATTTCCAATATTCCTTATGTTGTTATTTTCCAGTGGAAAAATTTGAAATTTTGGGAAAATGAGCTTCTCACCTACTTCTTCACATGCGAAACGTTTCAAAATTTTCCCTTCACTAGTTTTCCGGGAAAACTTTGAGATGTGTGAGACTCTATTTTCAATTAATTCAGTTTTTGTAGGTTGATTTTCAAGATTTTTCATGTTGCTGTTTTTCACTGAAAAAAAATAAAATTTTGGGAAAATGACCTTCCTTTTTATATGCAAAAAGTTTCAAAATATTCCTTTCACTAGTTTTCTAGGAAAACTTTGAAATATGTGAGACTGTATTTTGAATTAATTCAGTTATTGTAGGTTGATTTCCAATATTCCTTATGTTGTTATTTTCCAGTGGAAAAATTTGAAATTTTGGGAAAATGAGCTTCTCACCTACCTCTTCACATGCGAAAAGTTTCAAAATTTTCTCTTCACTAGTTTTCCGGGAAAACTTTGAGATGTGTGAGACTCTATTTTCAATTAATTCAGTTTTTGTAGGTTGATTTTTAAGATTTTTCATGTTGCTGTTTTTCACTGAAAAAAATTAAAATTTTGGGAAAATGAGCTTCTTACCTTCCTTTTTACATGCAAAAAGTTTCAAAATATTCCCTTCACTAGTTTTCCAGGAAAACTTTGAAATATGTGAGACTGTATTTTCAATTAATTCAGTTATTGTAGGTTGATTTCCAATATTCCTTATGTTGTTATATTCCACTGGAAAAATTTGAAATTTTGGGAAAATGAGCTTCTCATCATCCTTTTTATATGCAAAAAGTTCTAAAATTTTTTCTTCACTAGTTTTCCAGAAAAACTTTGAAAAGTGTGAGACTGTATTTTCAACTAATTTATTTTGTGTAGGTTGATTTCCAAAATTTTTCATGTTGCTGTTTTTCACTGAAAAAAATTGAAATTTTGGGAATATGATCATTTCACCTTTCTGTTTATATGCAAAAAGTTTCAAAATTTTCCCTTTGCTAGTTTTCCAGGGAAACTTTGAAATGTGTGAGACTGTATTTTCAATTAATTCATTTATTGTAAGTTGATTTCCAAGATTCCTCATGTTGTAATTTTCTACTGGAAAAATTTAAAATTCTGGGAAAATGAGCTTCTAATCTTTCTCTTTACATACAAAAAGTTTCAAATTTTTCTTTTACTAGTTTTCCAGAAAAACTTTGAAATATGTGGGATTGTATTTCCAATTAATTCAGTTATTGGAGGTTGATTTCCAAGGTTCTTCATGTTGTTATTTTTCAATGGAAAAATTTGAAATTATGGCAGAATGAGCCTCTAACCTTTTTCTTTACATGCAAAAAGTTTCAAATTTTCCCTTTACTAGTTTTCCAGGAAAACTTTGAAATGTGTAAAATTGTATTTTCAATTAATTCAGTTTTTGTAAGTTGATTTCCAAGATTTTTCATGTTGTTATTTTCCAATGGAAAAATTTGAAATTATGGCAGAATGAGCCTCTAACCTTCTTCTTTACATGCAAAAAGTTTCAAATTTTCCCTTTACTAGTTTTCCAGGAAAACTTTGAATTGTGTGAGACTGTATTTCCAATTAATTCAGTTATTGGAGGTTGATTTCCAAGATTCTTCATGTTGTTATTTTCCAATGGAAAAATTTGAAATTATGGGAGAGTGAGCCTCTAACCTTCTTCTTTACATGCAAAAAGTTTCAAATTTTCCCTTTACTAGTTTTCCAGGAAAACTTTGAAATGTGTAAAATTGTATTTTCAATTAATTCAGTTTTTGTAAGTTGATTTCCAAGATTTTTCATGTTGTTATTTTCCAATGGAAAAATTTGAAATTATGGCAGAATGAGCCTCTAACCTTCTTCTTTACATGCAAAAAGTTTCAAATTTTCCCTTTACTAGTTTTCCAGGAAAACTTTGAATTGTGTGAGACTGTATTTCCAATTAATTCAGTTATTGAAGGTTGATTTCCAAGATTCTTCATGTTGTTATTTTCCATTGGAAAAATTTGACATTATGAGAGAATGAGTCTTCAACCTTCTTCTTTACATGCTAAGAATTTCAAATTTTTCCCTTCACTAATTTTCGAGGAAAACTTATATTTTAACTAAGCGAAATAAAAATAGAAAAAATAAAATTATTATCACGAGCAATTTTTGGGGATTTTCAGGGAATTTGAGGGAGAAATTTGTGATGTGGTATCTAGAGGAATTTTGAGGAATTATGCATAAAAAATTCCCCTTTGGGGAAATGTTTACACAAATTCTGGGATGGTGGTTTACTCCTTGCTTTGGACTTAACGCACGCGTGGGGTTTAAAGATAAAGAACCTCACATAAGGGAGAAGCGGATAGTCAAAACTATAAACAAGCTATGGATCTCTTTTTCCTGTTCTCTACGTTATATGTCTACTTTTTCTTGCAATGAAAGCTTTTGGTCTAGATACAGTTCTCTCTTTCCTTCTCTTTACATTATATCTTTTTTCTCTATTGTGTAACGAAATGGGCCTAAATGTGACGCGTCTTTTGAATCACTCTCTATTGTCGTCCGAATATCAGAAGTTTCACAATTGGAGATTTTACAAGCGAGCTATTATCGTCGGCAGAATGTTGCTTCTAGAATTCTAAGTGTATCAACGTCACATTCATGTAAAATTTACAAAGGCTGAGTATTAGAGATTCCGTTCGCCGATACCGAGCTGGCGCCTAATTCTCGAAACAAAGGATTCCTATGATTCCTCCTGTCCTTGTCAGTTCCTTGTAAAATCTCACACGAGTAACAAAGACAGCAAATTTTTTGTCATGAGAACCTCCCATGTTTTGAGAATTAGGCGCCTGTGACCAGCAGCTATTTATCCCTTTTCCATCAGCACCAACGCGACAATCTCAAACGTACATGGTAGCTCTCTTTGTCCTTACGTATCAGCATAGTAAATCCTCATCGCTCTATCCAGCTTATCATCCACTTATCGATCAATCGAGCTGACGCTGAAGGGGTAGTAGCGTTACAATTAACGTAATAATTTCCCGTCAAAGAAAAGACAAAATCCGAAATTAATTAGACAGAGAATTCTAGTTAGCAGCAAGCTGTCGGCCTGATAACAAACTAACAACTCCCGACGTCTTAACACTTTCCGCCGACTGCACCTGGCGCCCTCTTGGAAAAGAAAAAACCGGCAATTAGATTTCCATGTCGTAAAGGCAAACTTTAACTGAGTCGCGTTTATACATTATTCAAGCCGGCTTCTTGTCGAAAATCACGTTACTCTTGGCGTCGTCACCCTTCGCTCGTCTAATTTACATATACTTATTGGTATATCGCCACAGTTTTGTCAAATTTATTAATGTTAACTTTTTGAAAATAAATATATTTCAATTGGATAATTTACAACTTTGTTCAAACAAGTTTGAAAGTTTATGAAATTTTCCTAATTTATAGTTTACTAGAGAATTTCCTCGGAAAAATAAAAGTTGTCGATTATTTGCTTACCTTTTTCTGGTTTTTCGAGTAGACGAAGTCATACACAAAACTAACACCGATAACAGTGATGCCAGTTTCTTTGCTAAGCATCGCGCACACCGCTAAAACTAAAAACACCAAAATGTACCACCAGCTTTTCACGCGCGCCACCCGGCAACACCAACGGTCCGACGCCTGAAATTTCGACGATATCCGTTCATGGTTGGTTTTGTTGCAACTTGTCACGGTTTTCTGTAAAGTGGTGGCGATTTTGTCGTATCGCTTGTAGAAGTTTGAGCAGCAAATCGAGTCTCGGTGACTCACGTGTGAGGAGTAGGCCAGGAACGAGAGGAAGAAGAGGTTGCATGCTAGCAAATCGGATCTGCCTGGAAAAAAAATTGTGTGTGTTGTCAGGAGTTTAATAACATTGAAATTGATTAAAAAAAAAAATTGCTTGGACTAGGATTTGAACTCAGGGCTGGGACTCTGTAACAAATAAACTTATTCTCTCAAAGTCCCACTAGCCCAGAACTCTCGCAGATCTAGTGCAATGGTTTAACCAACTGAGCTACTGAGACATGTCTTATTTCTACCTTGTCGGTCAAATCTTTTGGGGATTTGATTGAGCTAATATGATTGGGCGTCTAATCCTTATGTCTGCTAATGTCATGGTTGATATGATCATGGATTCCAACAGCCATTAATTGCGAATAATAATTACTAATCCACTTTCATGCCAAAGTTTGCCGTTGGTCTTCACAACTAATATCTTAAGTTTTCAAAGAAACACACTAAGTCTTCCTCCACAAATTATTTTTGGAGGAAGACTTGGTGTTTTTCTTTGAAAATTAAATTTCAACTCCACTTTGAGTCATGGACTACTTCTTCAATTTAATATGTTAATATTTGATAGAAGTGAGACAGGTCTTGGTAGCTCAGTTGGTTTAGAGGGTTGCACTGAAGTCCTGGCTTCAAATTGCTACTAAATCAAAATTTACTTACCAACAACACTGGCAACAGCTTCAGTATGAACTGGATGAGCGGCGAATAAAGCCCCAGTCACAATAGACCCAATTTTGTTCTTCGGCAAAACAATTCGAGCGATTTTGATGAGCAAATAGGTGGCCGAACAGTGCAGCACGACGTTGACCAAATGGTAGCCCCACGGGCTGAATCCGCCGGCCAAATAGTTGAGACGAAAAGTGAGCACGCTTAGAGGCCTGTAGGACCCGTGCGAGCTCGGATCTTGGAGCGGAGTGCCCCAGTAGTCGTTTTCCAGAAGCTGTGACCAAGGGGTTTTCGGTTGCAAGTCGGGGTTTGTTAGGATTGCTCGTCTGGAATCAAACAAGTTTGAGTTAATTGGGTGTATAGTTTTGGGGATTGTGTAAGAGAGTAAGTCAGTGGTTATATATATGTATAAATTGGTAGGCAAAGGACCTCGCACATCTCTTATGGGTATTTGGTTTTCGGTTAAATTCAATGAAATTTTGATAAGTGTTAGACCTTGACTTCCTGATAAAAAGTTCACATGGGCCCTAACCAATTTTATGATTGGTTTTTGAAATACAGGTACTTGAATATCCAAGAATGGTCATCATTATTTTCAAAAAATCATAACTCCATTAATAATAACTCAATCGCTTTGAGTTTTTAGTATTTTTTACATTGAACCTTTAGGAAAAAGTCCCCAAAATTTCAACTGTCCACTCACTTTAGTTTTTGAGCGAAAAAATTGTTTGTAAAGTCTGACTCTACAAAACATCATTATTTTTAAAAAATCACAACTCTATTATTAATAACTCAATTACTTTGAGTTTTTAGTATTTTTCACATTGAACCTTTAGGAAAAAGTCTTCAAAATTTCAACTCTCCACTCACTTTAGTTTTTGAGTGAAAAAATTGTTTGTAAAGTCTTACTCTACAAAACATCATTATTTTCAAAAATTCATAACTCTATTCGTAATAACTCAATCGCTTTGAGTTTTTAGTATTTTTTACATTGAACCTTTAGGAAAAAGTCCCCAAAATTTCAGTTCTCCACTCACTTTAGTTTTTGAGTGAAAGAATTGTTTGTAAAGTCTGACTTTACAAAACATCATTATTTTTAAAAAATCATAACTCCAATAATAACTCAATCGCTTTGAGTTTTTAGTATTTTTCACATTGAACCTTTAGGAAAAAGTCTTCAAAATTTCAACTCTCCACTCACTTTAGTTTTTGAGTGAAAAAATTGTAAAGTCTTACTCTACAAAACATCATTATTTTCAAAAAATCATAACTCTATTAATATTAACTCAATGGCTTTGAGTTTTTAGTATTTTTTACATTGAATCTTTAGGAAGAAATCCCCAAAATTTCAACTTTCCACTCACTTTAGTTTTTGAGTGAAAAAATTGTTTGTAAAGTCTTACTCTACAAAACATCATTATTTTCAAAAAATCATAACTCTATTAATAATAACTTAATGGCTTTGAGTTTTTAGTATTTTTTACATTGAATCTTTAGGAAAAAGTCCCCAAAATTTCAACTTTCCACTCACTTTAGTTTTTGAGTGAAAAAATTATTTGTAAAGTCTTACTCCACAAAACATCATTATTTTCAAAAATTCATAACTCTATTCGTAATAACTCAATCGCTTTGAGTTTTTAGTATTTTTTACATTGAACCTTTAGGAAAAAGTCCCCAAAATTTCAGTTCTCCACTCACTTTAGTTTTTGAGTGAAAGAATTGTTTGTAAAGTCTGACTTTACAAAACATCATTATTTTTAAAAAATCATAACTCCAATAATAACTCAATCGCTTTGAGTTTTTAGTATTTTTCACATTGAACCTTTAGGAAAAAGTCTTCAAAATTTCAACTCTCCACTCACTTTAGTTTTTGAGTGAAAAAATTGTAAAGTCTTACTCTACAAAACATCATTATTTTCAAAAAATCATAACTCTATTAATAATAACTCAATGGCTTTGAGTTTTTAGTATTTTTTACATTGAATCTTTAGGAAGAAATCCCCAAAATTTCAACTTTCCACTCACTTTAGTTTTTGAGTGAAAAAATTGTTTGTAAAGTCTTACTCTACAAAACATCATTATTTTCAAAAAATCATAACTCTATTAATAATAACTTAATGGCTTTGAGTTTTTAGTATTTTTTACATTGAATCTTTAGGAAAAAGTCCCCAAAATTTCAACTTTCCACTCACTTTAGTTTTTGAGTGAAAAAATTATTTGTAAAGTCTTACTCCACAAAACATCATTATTTTCAAAAAATCATAACTCCATTAATAATAACTCAATCGCTTCGAGTTTTTAGTATTTTTTACATTGAATCTTTAGGAAAAAGTCTTCAAAATTTCAATTCTCTACTCACTTTAGTTTTTGAGTGAAAACATTGTTTGTAAAGTCTTACTTCACAAAACATCATTATTTTCAAAAATTCATAACTCTATTCATAATAACTCAATCGCTTTGAGTTTTTAGTATTTTTTACATTGAACCTTTAGGAAAAAGTCCCCAAAATTTCAGTTCTCCACTCACTTTAGTTTTTGAGTGAAAAAATTGTTTGTAAAGTTTTACTTTACAAAACATCATTATATTCAAAAAATCATAAGTCCATTAATAATAACTTAATCACTTTGAGTTTTTAGTATTTTTTACATTGAACCTTTAGGAAAAAGTCCACAAAATTTCAACTCTTCACTCACTTCACTTTTTAAATGAAAAAATTGTTTGTAAAGTCTTACTGTACATAACATCATTATTTTAAAAAAATCATAACTCCATTAATAATAACTCAATCACTTTGAGTTTTTAGTATTTTTTACATTGAATCTTTAGGAAAAAGTCTTCAAAATTTCAATTCTCTACTCACTTTAGTTTTTGAGTGAAAACATTGTTTGTAAAGTCTTACTTCACAAAACATCATTATTTTCAAAAAATCATAACTCCATTAATAATAACTCAATCACTTTGAGTTTTTAGTATTTTTTACTTTGAACCTTTAGGAAAAAGTCCCCAAAATTTCAGCTCTCCACTCATTTTAGTTTTTGAGTGAAAACATTGTTTGTAAAGTCTTGATATCCTCACGTTCAGGTTATAGGTAGATGTAAATGCGTATAAAATGTGTACAGTGGGAATTATTGCAATTGCCAAATACTATTCTCTTTTAACATCCTTCGTATTTAGTCGAAATTTTAACCAATAGATTTATTCAGTGCAGCAGTGTACAAATATTTTTTTCCTTTAATAGTTTATCAAAACTATTATGTTCACCACTGATTTATCAATTTGACACGATATTAACATTATCTGTGTGTCAAAGAAATAAAATGTTGACACATTACGGGGGATGTATATATAGTGTCTGCCAATTGCAATGATTCTTACTGTACATTTCTTGGACATTAAACTACCTGTATCTCAAAAACTAGTCATAGGATTGGTTCGGGCCCATGAGAACTTTTTATCAGGAAGTCAATGTCTAACACATATCAAAATTTCATTGAGTTTGACAGAAAACCAAGGGGTGTGCGAGGTCCTTTGGAATTCTTGTGGTGTTGTCGGATTGTGTTTAATGTCTCAGTTCACTAGACGTCGCTAGATTGTTTTCTTTGTACATTTTAAAATTTATGCTAACATTTCAATGTCTACATTATGTAGGCTCTTGCAATTTACTCATCTATTAATTCTTAACCGCTATCGCCGTAGACTGGCTCCTGAGCCGAAGCTAATAAAGCAACAGACCGGAATAATGCACGTTAATACCCGTAAACGTGCTTAGCGCAAAGCTCCCTTTGCTGCATTAACTTTACCGTAATCGATTATACAACGACAAAATATTTTATACAAAATGCGGCCGAATCAAAAAGCGAATCACGTAAACGTCCAGATTTGTAACCGTTATCCTCGGCAAGGATTATCCGGGCCCCGGAAACCGAAAAACAAAAGGTCGAAAGATAAGGACCAAACAATGGAGTTTATACATGTTTGTGTTGGAGAATTTCCTTATTATTGATCTAAAAAAAAGGAAATAATAAGAGCGGAAAGTAGCGGCACAATAAAGTTTGTATAACTTTTTAAATTAAAACGAGAAGTAATATAAAACCCGAATTTCGCCAAGGTGATTATTATCTTTTCCAAAGTTGTATTTAAACTTTTCTCCCTTCAGGACTTTAATTTGTCGCAAAGTTAATTTGATATTAAATTTAGTTCCTTTTATTTTTATTCGAATCGAATCGGACAAAGGCGAGACGTGAGCGAAATATAACGATCTCTTTTCACTTTTAAAACATTATTTACATTAAAGAAACGTGCCCGAGCGGGTGTGGAACGGGATCTAATCAAATCACAGCCCGAAACCTCATTTTCCGTCCCATTCCTCTTTGTTTGCATAAGCTATGACTTTTTCCCTTGCCGGCAGAGAAACGTGTAAAAAATGCCAACACCGGGGAAAAATGTACTAATTCTGTTTGCCTCCCGGATCGGTATTTGCATTTAAATTCGACATTAAACAAACAGGTAATGTAGAGCGGCTACGAGGTAAGAATTATTCGAGGGTGAGCATCGACGTGTAAAGTCATTACCGATGCCAGAAAACTTTAAGTGATTCGAGTGAAAAGCTGTCGTAGCCGAAAAGTGGTCCGAAGTTTCAATACACTCTCTCTGCCCTTTTTCACGGTTCTGGGATTTCGTTGCGAGAGACGAAAAGTTTTATTAATAGGGAGTTTCGTTCTGCCATCAAATTGCAAATCTATGTTTCCAAAGTGCTTTATTGTTGCTTCGAAATTTATCTACCGATAAGGACAGGACACAGTAGGAGGATCTCGGTTTTATTTTTGTTCTGGTATTGATGGGCCATTTTTCATGTCACGAAGCAAATTTGTTCATTGAGAATGTGAAAATCCCATACATTTCCTAACTTTGTTCTTCAAGTATTATAACTTCTTCCAATATATTTTACATAATTTATAGGGATACGATAGTGATCGAGAGCAAAGGTAGCAATTTCCGAAAATTAAAAGTGAAAAAATTACAGCCACCCTCGAAGACGAAAAGCGGCAAAGCTTTTCAGTAGTGGCGCGCTATCTTTTCTCGGTAACGGTTTTAATCTGGTTTGAACCTTATTTAAAATTATCCTTTTAGAATATCGAATCAAGATCATGCTAACGAGGGTAGTTACCCTTGCCGAATGTCGCTCCGCTTGATAGGGAGGATAAAAGTAAGAAAACTTCGACGAGCTGCTTTCACGTCGTTAAAGGGGATTTTATTTCCTCGGGAAACGTAATAATGTTTGTTGTAAAAATTACATACTCGTTATGCGATTTTATTCGAAATAAAC